CCCAAAACATGTAAATACATTAATGCAACATGCAGGTTTTTAATGTCGGGACTATTATTTAATGCAGCAATAACCATTGTTTACTGCACAGACCAGAAGAAAAAGGTGTTATTGCTATGTCTGTCACTACTGCTGCAATCAGGAATAAAGGTGCTTTAACCTTTTTAGGTTGACCAAGCACCGAGATGAATTAACCTCTTCATTGTCTGGCCAAACATACACTCACTTCATGATGAGAGCTCAGCTTATTGTGAGATTACAATGTGAGGGCAAGGACCCCCATGACCCAGCTTAGAAACTGTCAATTACGATTAATGAAATGACATTCTGCTTAATGGCATTACTAAAATTACAGCCACACACAGAACTTGCAGCGATTTGTGGTTTGGTGTGTCAATGCTCAGTTTTGCGACCAAGCAGGTTGTTCATTTTTTCTAGAGCTAGAGACAGGATTCACAGTGTTCAGCAAGTCTTTCTCCAAAACTATTTACATGTTGGATTAAACAGTTTGTATCACAATGTTAAGAAGAATCCGTGTGCAGTATTGCATCACTGTAGTCACAAAATATACTCCAGATGCAGATCTGGACCCTACTAAAAACAAAAACTCCTATTTAAGGTGTTCATCATTATATCAGAATTAACATAGGTCACATTTTAGAAACTGAATGTTTCTTATAAATCATGCTTATTGTATGAAGGTTTTGTTTCTCAGTCCCAATTAGCTTTGGGGAAAAAATGGCCGTCATGCAGCTGTTGTAATTTTGAATAGGCTGACACAGGAACTACTTTACACTCAAAAAAACAACAACAACAATGCAGTATGTGTGTGGTAAGGCTTGAAGCTGGGATTCCTGAAGGGTTAGGGAGCTCAGGCCATTAGGTTGGTCTTTTCTGTTTTTAAGTTGGGGGGTGAGGGGGGTGGCTGGAAGGTATTGAGAATTCCATAGCCAGGAAGTAATCTTTTTTTTTTTACATCAAGAATGGAAATATGTGGGAGTTTTACTGGAGTGGGTTTTGTGTTTCACACAGTCCTGAGGTATTGTCTGGGGACAACATTGTATTAGCACCTCTGTCATCATTTGTGTTAAATAGTGTAAAAAAAGAAGTCCATTTTTTTTCAGAGTGAGAAGAGTTTTAGTCCGTGAAAGAAGGCCTTGTCCAAAGCAACAATGGGGCAGTTAGCGCTGGGCAGAACCTTCGACACAACTGAAGCCACATTATACTGTGAAAGAGTGCTGGGCTCTGTTTTAAGCAGGTTTTCAAAAAGTAGGGTTTAGGAGAAAATGTCTAGTCAAGTGTGAAGTCTTTTAGGGTGATTTTTTTGTGGGGGAAGATTTGGGTGAATAAAGGAATTAATTTCAAGTTTGTCCCTAAGGAAATCATTTAGATTCTTAAAACAAAAGTTTACTTCGCTCGACTAGGTTACCACATCTTCTGTGTGTACACTGTCTTCTGGTTCTAGATTTAGGAATTGTTGGGGATCTGTCCAGTTTTGTTTTGTGATTGGTTTGCAAGTTTCTAGTTGCTTTGAAATGTAGAATGTTTGTTCTTCATCTGGGAATTCACCTTTTCTATTCTAGTTGATCTGCTGGCTCTTTTTTTCATTTTTTCAGGTACATTTTTAGTAATATAGAACTGCTTCACGTGACTATTGTATGAATGCCACCAATTAGGGTTTTAATTCTGTATACAGGATTATCTGTATGCATAGATACAAAAGTGCTTTGGCAAACATTAAGATCCAGATTGTTTCATACCTTCTATGGAACCTTAGAATTACTGTCTACAACGGGGTAACACAAGAACTTAGTGGTAAGATGTGACGTAGATTTCAAATCTGTACAGTAAGTCTTCTGAATATTAACTGCAATTCAAAGTAGGAGTAGCTTTTTGCCTGGTGTCTTGATATCTAAAGGATAAAGTAAAACCAAGAGAGCCAGCAAGCTTTCCTCTGTGCATCAATTGTTTTACTGTGCTTGTGAGCTCACAGAAGCACTGTTCAGGCCCCGTCTGCAGCCTGGCTGGAGAGAATGTGCATGGGTTAGGGGGTGGCATTACGCTGAAGAGAGGAGTGGAGGGAAGCCGGGAGACCCTGTGGTCTTTATTTAGTTTCCACTGTCTCTGATAATAGCCTCCGAGGTGAATAGCAGGCTTTCATTCCTCTTGGTTTCCCTTCGTACAATTCAGGGCTAGCAGGCAGGAGAAAAAGATGTGGTCCATTGCAGGGGTACAAGTGCTCAGTAAGGCTTGGGCTTGCCACATTCCACACCGTGAATGTTTTGATGGTGGGGGAGGGGGGGGTTGTTTTGTGTTGCTAGCTTGTGGATCTTGATTAAGTGCTCTTCAGGGGTCACAGTGTAGCAGTAGAGAGGCAGAGGGAACATGGTAGGGTAGAATTGACTGTATCTACCCATAGCGAAGCATATACCAAGCCTTCCCTTTTCATTCTATATTGTAGTACAGCACTGAGCAGCAGTATGATACACTCTCCCCTGACCTGTTGTTTGGCGGTTGCTTTTTGGATTTCTTAATTTGGTATCTCAGGATCAGATTTGTCACTGAATAAAAAAGATAAGGCAATAACTGGAAAAAAACAGGGGATTACAAAATGTACGTATTTATATACTCGGTCCGGTCCTCATGAACTAGGGCTATTAAAATCTTTTCTTCCCAAGAGAAAATGAACGAGAAATACTTGTGTGCAGTGTATACTTAGCTTATAGTGGCAGTGTGTTGCTCAAAAGAAAAATAAACTGTGCAACTAGATATTGTTTATCTAACCTTATTTTAAAAGGCACATAAACCGTTAGGGAGCTGGGTTGTAAATCATTGCTTGGATACTTGCGTATTGCAGGTCGCTGACTTGTTAAAAAAAATGCACATACAGTATATATACTAGATGGCCTTTTGGATGGTTTCTGAATAGAAAACCTGACAAAAGAACTAATTTAAATGGTTTACTAAAGCTTTCAAAAGGGGGGAATTGACAACATTCTTTCACATCATTACCAGAGGAGAACAGGCAGCGTTGTGCTGCCAGCACTCACACTTAGTGGCTGACTTGTCAGGCATGTTTGACAGCTGTCAAAGCTTCTTTTATTCTTGACTGGATTTCAAGACGGGCTAAAATAGGGAAACACCTTGATTTTTTTTCCTTTCCTCTTTTCTATAGACTTTTTAGGTTTTCACATTTAAATTCCTCTTCAAGATACCAGGTACCCCCAAAACAGGGGTTTCATTTTGCCAGAAGTCTTAATATTGGAATGTAGTAACTGTTATATGTGGTGTATTTTTTTTTGTAGCTTTTTTAAAGAGCTGCTGTTGCTGATGTATCACACACATGCAGATGGGTGTCATTCGATTCTGTCACTGGGTGGTTTCCATGATCCATGTTTACTGCCCGGAGAAGCAAGTCCATTGGCAAATGTCTGTTCATTCTCTCACAGATTGAGAGATTTAAATGGAGTAGTTCTTCTCTAGAGGTTAATCTGTCAGAAACTAGATGGGCTGCAGAAAAAGGTGGTCAGTGTAATCTACGTTCTTGGTAGTTTTTTGCAAAGAGAGGGACTCTGCTTACTGTATTTCAACATTATATAGGCCATCAGCCTTTGTTTTCCATACCTAGGAAATGGTTGAGGAATGTGGGACAATAGGCAATAGATGTATAACATTTTCTGGTGGCGCTATTTAGTTTGTTTGCTGCAGTTCAATTGTTCTTAAACATGACCATTTTAAACAATTGATCGATACAAACTTCATATACCTATATTTATGTTACTTATGCCATGCTGTTCATAATGAAATGAAGCGGAAAATTCAATGCTTTCAGAATCAGTCCTCCCTTCTCTTTTGGTGATCTACACAATGAAGGGGGATGCTACACAGGTTATTTTCCAAGACAACAGCTATCCTTGTTTCAAAGCTGTTTCAGTCAAAAACTGACAAGAAATTTTGCAGTTAGGAGCTCTTGAGTCCTTGACAAGGCATTGTGCTTGAAATTACCATTCAATGGCCAAAGAAGACAAAAAAAAACTTTTATTATGTACAGCATATCTTTTCAACCGACTCTTCAAATGTAGCTACCATTTTAATGCTGTTTAGACATTTGCTGTGATTCTGATTAGGAACTGCCAGTCTTAGCTTGAGCTTGTAGAGATAAAAGAAAATAAAGACACTTTCTGAAATGAAACCCGACTCTAATCCATCCATCACCTACTCCTGGCCTTTTTAATCCATGCCGTGGCCTAATCTGGTTAAATTTCCTTACTGCAGAGCTTCAGTCAAAGTCCTCTGCTGGGAATATAGGAATCTTGCAGTTGTATAAAGCCGTGTTATGGTTCAGTACTCCCTGTTAAACCGTAATCTTAGATAATTGAAAAAGGCCTTTGCCACTTATCAACACAAAGAGTAGATTACATTGCTGAGACCAATTTAGCAAATGTTGAAATTATATTTTCTTTTATAATGCAGGCCAGGGAGGTGATTGCTTAAGAGGTGTAGCAAATCTGCACATTGAATCGCAAAACTGAACTCATCCTTTATTTTTTTTTCCTTACATTGGTCAGAGCTCAGTTTGCGTTTCACACCTCACGCTTCTCTACGGTTGAGTAAGAGCATTCTGGCTGAAGAAACCTTGTCTTGTATACAGCATTATTTTATTATTTTCATTGATTGCAAGTGATTTAACTGGGCTACATTATTTGCAAGCGTATGTCCTAAACGTTGCCAAGCAGGCAGATCTCCGACTGCTGCTGGAGAATATATGGCAATCTCGCACTTGGTTCTAACTGTTTTTTTGCAAGCTTCCTACAATTTTAGCCACATTTTTTTCATTTTGAAAACGCTGTATATGATTAGTGCGGTCAGGTGGCTCAGGATCACAGTTTTCTTTTCTCTGCTCACAATCTGCAGTGCCCCTGCCCATTTGTTTAATCTGTAGTGCTTGCGCCAGTGGCTGAAGCCTTCACAGCTGATCTTGTTTCTCCCCTCTCTTGCAGTCTAACAAAGTGCCCGTAGTGCAGCACCCTCATCATGTGCATCCGCTCACGCCCCTGATCACGTACAGCAATGAACACTTTACGCCAGGGAACCCTCCTCCCCACTTACAGACCGACGTGGATCCCAAAACAGGTAAGGGCAGGAATGGTGGTCGTCCAAGAGCTGGGAACTGGCTCCACGAAACACCACACGTGTCGGGTACCACCTTAGAAGTTAAACATGGATTCGTTTTTTGTTAACTGACGTGTGTTCAGCAGCTCTGGGCAACACCTTTAAACTTAAGCGGGTTTAAAGGAACAGAAAGGCGCTTTATGCAACTTGGCCACAGGAATCTACAGAGTAGCAATGGGGGATTGTGTCATTGGGAGTTCTCATTATCCAAAATAAATTGGCCCAGAGCTGTTCGCAGAAATCCGAGGTAAAGTCCAAGGGAAAATGTCTGATGGGGGCATCTCTGTGGAAAGTGTTCTCTCATAGCTCCTGATGGTCTGAAAAGATGTAATTGCAAAGTTTTTTTTTTTATGTAGCATAATATGATGGAATCAATCTGTCTGTTCTCCTATTGCAAGCAAACTCTCATGATGAACCTTTATTTTCAGTGGTTAAAAGGCATATTTGAGTGGTAGGACTGCCTGCATATCTTTGGAAAGTAATTAAAAATATGCCCAAGGATGATTATCCTTAGAGGTTATTCACTCTGGATGCATTTCAGACAAACTCAAGTTTAGTTTGAAGCAGTGCTTCGATTCTTCATACTTCTTTTACTGTACAGAGGTTTGGAAGAGGGCAGACATTTGTTGGAGACTCGGCTGGCTCCTGGTATTTAATTGAACAAGGCGAGTTAGTTTACAGTGACAACCTGGAGACCCCGTTTACACAGCCGGCTGTTTTCTTGAGCAATTTGAATGAAGTACCTTGCTCAAGGGTACCACAGCAGCATCCTACCTGGGTTTGGAAGCAAAGATCCTCCCATTCAGAATTCAGAGCCCTAAATACTGCTCCACACTGCTGCCTAACCTGCTGCATTAAGTTTCTTTTATCCCAGATATTTACATAATTAGTTACATTAAATGTATTGTTGCGTAAGATACAGTTGTGATGCAAGAGAAGACCTCTTCTTTTTCTTTGTTTTGTTTCTTTTTCTCAAGCACTCCTTGAGTTCTAACAACTGTTATTCATTGCAACCTTTGGTTTAGAGTGTTTATTATTATTACACAGTATATTTAAAAAATCATACAATCTTGTAATTATACAGTGCTACATCTCTATTCAATTGAAAATAATATCTGTATAGATATTTCATTCTTCTAATACTAGACATCGCCATCAACTATAACTGCACTTTAAAGGACTGACTTGACAAAGCCCACAGTAGTAGCTCTGATGTTAAGAGAAAAGCAGTCCACTTTATTTTGTAAGTAGAAGAATTTTAGTATTTTTAACTGGAAAACAGAAATGACCAAAGGTAAGTTTAAAAGGCTTCTGCATGAAAATTGAAATTGATTGGCAAATTAATTGGATTGAAATTGTTGCATTCTATTAGTTTTCTTCAGTCTGGTTGTTGTATTGTCTCCTATTCTGTCCATTTCATTTTTCTTGACATTGCCGTGTTGACACATTTGCTGTAGTGCTAGGAAAATGGTTCTTGAAATGTTATCATAAAATGTGTTTCTTATATTTTCAAAAGAAAAGAGTTCCTTCTTTAATACACATTCAGGTTTATAAAGTTAGCCTTACCCACTTTGTACAGAAACTACCTCTTCAAGGTGGACACATTACAGTTTAGTAGCAACCGGACCTCATTGATCACATTGAACTCAGAATGAAAAAAATGCCTAAAGGCCGGACATTAAGAAAGACATAATTGCAGAATTTTTATGGCTGTTGATTTTTCTTAAATGATTTATCAAGGGATCTGACATGCTTATCATTTAATTCAGAAATACTGTGAATTTTCATAATTAATTTTCTGGAACAAGATGTAAGTTTCTTATAAAGGTTTTTATTTATGTTTTCTTCTAGTGTGTAAAATAGCACTGTTGATGACATAAAACATGCAATATTTGTCATCTTGTAATAGGCTATCATCTGTGAACAGAATGTTTTTTGAGTGTCGTATTCTTTGGATTGATCTCTTTTTTTTTTAACTCCACAAATTACAATTCACAAGTTTGAGGGCTTTACACCTACTGCTAGATGGAGTACTCTTATAGCTCAGATGGAAATTACGTTTCGAAAGCAGTATTAAAATAACGCTTTTGAAATATTTAAATATGTAATTACAAGGTGCTCCAGATTCAGATTAAATTACATTAAAGAAAACAAAACCAACGTTTTGCCACAATTTGAGAGCAGAAACCAAATACTTATGCGTTTCCACTATTTTACTTATTAACAACTATGAAAGTGTTGTTATTCTGTTAATAAAAAACTGAGATATTATTGATCTTGTATCGCAATATCTTTGGTTGTCAGAGTCAGTATGTTTGGTTTCTCAGGAGAATTCCCTGGTTTCACAGTCTTTCTCCAAGAATGAATTTGCCTTTTAACTGCCCTGTATATGCAAAATTCCAGTGCTTCCAAAACCTTTCGACCAAGAGTTTTACTGAACTCATCTAGACTTAAAGGCATATTAGCTATCAGACCTTGCAGTTAAAATGCAAATGGACAGAGATGACAAAGGTGAACTCAGGTCTTGTTTGACTGAAGTCTTGCTGTAACTTTTTAAGAGCTCAGATGTTCTTTTATCCCTTCTGCATTCAAGTTAAAAAATGTTCTAACATTTGTATGCCACTTTTTATGGCAAAGGATCTCCAGGGAATGTTACATATAGGAGGAGTTCAGCAAAAATTAGGGTGATGCACTTTTCTCCAGTATCTGATCAGGTGGTAAACAATTATCTCACCAGCTGAGTTTTTGAGAAAGCCTAAATTTCAGTTTCTTATACTTGCTCACTTTTTTAGTTGCAAAATATTTGGTAATTATTTTTTAATGATGACTCTGAAATAGGTTTCTCCAAGGTTCTCTCAAGTTGGTATATAGCTTAATTTGATGCTGTGAGGGTACACTTAGCAGAAGAGTATATTTTGAATTAAAGCAGTGCTGCTTAAGGTTTTTAGTGTTATAAAGATCAGCAGTATTTCAAGACTGTTGTGAGTTGAAGATCGCTTATTTTCATCATTATTGAGTCACAGTCTCTACTTGTTTCTCTTGGACAATACGTTATTTGCATGAACTGTAATAAACTTAACACCAAACTTGTTTTGCGACTTTTCTATCCCATATATTTTGACTTGTTGATTATTGTACGTAATTCAATTTGTGCAGTTTTGATTTTCATTGGTTTTAATATTGTTGTTGTTGGTTCTGTCCTTTTATCATAACCAAGTATCATGAAGGAGCAGTAATGACTTAGGGTCTGTTGAATGGCATGGTTAATGGCATGGCTAAATTGAGCATAAGCTTTAATTAATGAGAAGAGGTAAAACTGAAGTGTGAAATTACAGTTGAGTGGTTTTCAGGTACAACATGCTAGAACAGGTTATTCATTACAGTTACAGGTGGTGTGAGGGTTTTGTGTCGACATATATAAAGATACCTTGTATTTATTATTTCCAAGGTACTACAGAAGGTTGGATATCTTCCTGTATCTGAAGACATATCTAATCCATTTATGTCTAGAGAAGTACCTTAGTCTGTGTTTCTTGAATCTTTTTTCATGTATAATTAAATTTAAGAAACTTCTCATACAACTGATTAATATACTTCAGTAAATCAGTTTGGCGTATTTTGTTTACCTAGAAAGTAACTTGACTTCATGGAGTAATTTCCTGCTCCTAAGTGTTAATTGCCCATGGTTTACTACCTTACATGGTTAATTGTTGGGTTTTTTTACACTGCAGTGATGATGGTTCTGAAAACTTGCGTTTGAAAATAAGCATTTAAGTACAAAGTCTGTAGGTGGAGCACAGATCTACTTCTAACATATCATTTTGTTACCTTCTGGCCAAAAGAAGGTTTACTGGAAATCTTGGACAGTTTAATCAGTTGTGGAAAATTCCTGCAGAGAATTGTTTTCTCAAGCCTGCTAGAGAGAGCAGGGACATTTCAAAGCAAGGCTTAACGGTCATATCACCAGAGCTTCGGTACCTTGTACAGTACATTAGTGTCTCACAGTTTTCAACAGGTCTGCCAATATTGTCCTTTCTTGATTTACATTACGTACAGTGTTAGAATAGAAATAGTTTATGTATTCATGGTTTTATCTTTAACTCAAAGCCCTTTAGCCTCATATTACCCAACTTCCATTTTAAGATGCATATCCACCCTGTAGGATAACTATAGGATATAATCATCTGGTGTCATAGAGTTATGGAAGAGCTCTAGGGAGGGCTAGTGAAAGTACAATTTAAAGATCTGTTATGAGATCTGTCAGGAGCAGAAATTTATATATTAAGGAAAATGAGTCTGCTTGTGGTGAAACTAATTTCAGTATGTCATTTTAGTGATATGTTTCCAGATGGTCAGTTGTTATTTTGAAAGGCAGGATTTAGACCTAATGCCAGAGTTTACTTTTTGTTCTGTTGTAACTGTGCAAAGAGATATTACACAATATATTCCTTCCTTCTGCAAAGTTCCTTTTTATTCTTCTAAGGCCTGGATGGCACATGTTTCATCACACCAAGAGTATTAACTAGGGGAGATACTTAAAGCATTTTGACAGTTGTATCACAGACCATTGTCTCTCTCTACTGGAATAAGCCCGTTTGAGGTCTTCTCAGAACATTATTAGTTGTTCTTATATCAGAGTACAGAGTTGAACTAAGAAATTCCCTTAGAATTGTTTGAACAATGTAATCTTCAATGTGGTAAGATGCATTCAAATGATTCCAATAATAAATTAAATCATTTATAATTTTTCAAATAAAAAAATGTTTTATGGTCCATGAAATGTTTTGAATTTTAAGCTGCCTATCGAATAGTGTAAAAAGTCCTGTTTAGGTGTAGCGAGGTCCTATTGATTCTTTAGTTATAATCTTTAACCTCACTAGCAGAAGAAAGTGGATCAAACCTGTTTTGGTTTAACACTGCTGTTTTAAGCAGTGAAGCTCACCTGAATCTCCTGAGATACTGATTGAGATGTTAAATTTGGAGAAGGAAATAATTTCTCAGATAAGATGTGTACACATTTGTAATGGGAATGTATTTTGAAAGACTGAAAATGCTTCTCTTCCTTCACAGGAATCCCAAGGCCTCCACATCCTCCAGATATATCTCCATACTATCCTTTGTCGCCGGGCACAGTAGGCCAAATCCCCCATCCGCTAGGATGGTTAGTACCACAGTAAGCAGTTCCAGTTTTCTTTTTCTATTAATATTGCTGTTTGAATTGTTGAGTTATGGGTCTAACTTATTGAGATGCTGCAATTTGACAGTGGCTGTTAGCTAGACACTTGACTTTAAACTGTTTCTTACTGAACATACAGTATTTCAGACATTCAATGTGTCGTTCAGCACAACAAAAGTAAATAAGAACACAACTGAGTATTGAAAACAGTAATATTTGTTGTTTTAATGCCTTGTAGTTTGTAGCTAGCACAAATTATGTAACAATTTAGAATTATTTTCATTCATTTGTAAGTTTTAATCTACCATTCCTTAAGGTTGACACCTGTCTATATACCTTAGATATGTGGGTACATTCCTGCAGCCATAAAACAGAGGCAGTGCAACCACTGTCTAATTGTACAGTACATTTCACTGTATAGGACATTTTATGTGTTTACCAGTTTATTATCACAACATAAATAAATCTTAAATATATATATAAAATATGACGTTGCAGTGAGACATCTGGAATAATTAATGTTAGTAATGCTTAAATTATACCAAACAGAAACATCAGAGCAATTTAGCAAAGAGGAAGCAGAAGAATTACAAAACTAACTTTTATCATGATATGATGCGGTTGTTATTGGGCACTTTGCTGTTATGCTTAAATAAAAAGCAAAACGCCAGTCGAACCTTTCAGGTCTTCAATATCAAGGCACCCTATATAAAGGTGTTGCATAGAAAGAATGATCATTTTTTATCAAAGTCACTCTCCCATGCACATATTTGAGTATTGAGTGAGTTTTACATGTTCACTTCTTTGCTTCCTATTAACTTTTAAAAAGTCAGATGTAATGTCATATAGGTATTTCTGTTGTTTTGTTTCTCATATGGCTTTGTCTGTATGTGTAGCTTGAATTTTCAGGATCTAGCATATAGGGTAAGGGAGAGGGGTGCAAGGAATGTAAGATGCACAGAGTTCATTGGGCAGTTTTCTACCAGCTGTTCACTTGTAGTTTTAGTTCTGTTTTTTGTAGCTGGTGATTGTCTTGAAAGTTTTAAAGCTTTCAGAAGACAGCAATGACCAAATCCAGTCCACTTTTCCCACGAGTGACTTTAAAGTCATCTTGCCAATTGTGTGCCTAAGAATGCTGCAACACTTGAGGCAAAATAAAATAGGCAGCCCTTAGTTCATGCATGTAGACATTGCTTTGACTTTGCAACAACACAGTTGACTTTTTCTTTTTTAAACGCTAGTTGCTGCTTTGTGGCAAGAATGCTATTTTGCATGTTACTGTATTGTCCAATTACAGTAATGAACCATGATTGCCAGTCTGTTACCCAGAATTCCATATGGGGACTGTCCCCTGGTAACTCTTGTCAACACTTGTTAATATGACAAAAGGCTACAAATTAAGCTCTGTTAATTTAATGTTTTCTCACCGCGATCTAAATACCGAAAGAGGCCCCGAGCACAGACGCAGCCCTTTGATTCACTGTATTTTATTTTGGTATAAATTTACATTCATTATTGTTTTCCTTTGGAAGTGTAGACCTCAATTAGTGTGATGGCTCCATTAAAGCAGTCGACGCTTCGCCTTTAATTATCACAACAAAACACCTAGTTTCAGCTGGGGGAGAGGGTCTCTATTGACATAAGCAGGGGTTATAAAATTTAATTAGCCATTCCTATCAGATTTATGGCATTCAAATTGTTCAGAGTTTGCTCCCTTTGATCCCCGCTCTGCAATCCCCAAGATTTTTGTTCTGATCAAATGAGAAGAACGCTCGCTGCGTGGGAAGAGGTTTTTACCTTTTTCCTTTCTGCCTTTCTTCTTTTTAGGCAAGGTCAACCGGTGTACCCAATCACAACGGGAGGATTTCGGCACCCCTACCCCACTGCGCTCACTGTCAACGCGTCCATGTCAAGGTGGGTTGCGCTCTGTAAAGTGTGCCTTTTTGATTGCCAACAGACACCGTGAACACTGTTATGATGAACTCAATGGTAAAATGTTAGATCTTAGCAATGCAGGTAATCTTTTATCAGTGTTGGAATGGTAATTGGTTCGATTAGTGGTGCTGGCAGTGGTAGCATTATTTTAAGTATGATTAATTAGTAGTATTTGGGCTCCAGAGGTATTACTGCTTGTAATATAATTACTATGTCCAGGTATTATACTACATTTTCTTGTGACTTAATGAGACTAAGTAGAAAAATATATATATATTAAAGACGCTCTGTTTTGAAGAGCTTTGGTACTTCTGTTAGAAAATGTAAGAGATTATCTGATCACACACCTAATTCATAGATTAAGCTGCTCTTTGCGGACCACTATGTTTGACAACATAGCTTTTCAACTGAATTGCAGTCTTGGGTGCAGTATCTTATGCATAAGTAGGAAGAGTTCATGGTGAATGACCAGCTCTGGGAGTTATTTCATGATCTTTTAAATAAACATTCTTCAGTCTTAGTTGTGATACCCCTCTTAAAGTGATGTTTGTACTGGTCAGCTTCAAGGGTAAAGGACTGTTAAGTAAAGTTGGTCTGTAAATCTCACATTAAATGGAGGATAAAGGAGAAGACTGAATTTGTCTCTTTGAATTGTCATTTATCTGGTGCTGCCCAGCATAAGCTGCCAAGTCAATAGGTGAGGTGCTGTAATGCACTACAGCCTTCCTTTATTCAGAAATGGCAGCACAATAAATTCTACGTGCAAACATGCTACATGCTACAGTGCTTCAGAATAAAGTCTGGATAAAAAGCACTGTGTAATACATTATGTAGGTTTTGCCTGATATTGCAGAAATAAGGTTTGCTTTAATAAAATAAATGTAAAATAAAACGTAAAACCCGTAATGTAACCACATCACATACCACATTAAATTAAACTAGTAGAACAAAAGCCTCATTTACCCAGAACATTTTAATCATCCAGACTGGCATGGAAGATGGTGGTGGTGACACTTTCCATCTCCAGAACATTCACCAGCCACAGGAAGGAAAGGGATCTTTTTGGATGTGTGGCACCGCAAGCTTCGCAAGCCCCCCTGAGCTGTTTCCCAAGCCCCCCCCTCCCCCTTCCTTTCAGCCCTAATTATTTACAGCTAAATTTCCAGTGGTTGCTAGTTTATTTACCAACTAGTCAGTAGAACTGTGTTTAAGTAATCACTAATTGCCCCTAATGATGGGTTTATTTTCTGATCATCTGATTTCCAGTACAGTTAATTGAATTGGTGGATGCTTAGAGTTTTGTGATGGGCTGAAGCAGCTAATGCATTTTGATAATATGTAATTAAATTAGCATAGATTAATAGGCAAGGCCTCTGTCTCTGGAGACAGAAGGTTAGCGTTTATATGTTAAAACAGAGAAAAGTGGCTAGTCTTTTTTTATTATTATTAATGGAGCAGAGGGAACACGTGGACTTTTTTCTGGTCAATTACCCATTCCGTTTTAAAATTCTTCGTAATTTTCTCATCATGGAGTTGTCCACCAATGAGGACGTATGTGCCCGCTGGAGCAGGCTTCAAACAGAAGCAGGCTTGATGTGCTTGAAACAGAGGAACATTAAGGCAGTAATGGAGACTATCTGTCCTCCTAATCCTAATGGCATGTTCAAAGGCCATTATAAACACAGCAAGGAAAGGACTCTTGTACAGGAATACCTGGGTGATATTTCAGTTTAGGTTGTTGTTTTTTCCTTAGTATAAAGGCACAGAAAGGGGGACAGGGGTCCACAGCAGTTTTGTGTGCTGAATTAGTATGACAAAAGCTACTCGTCTTCTTGTACCCGCTATTCCCTTGATACAGCATATAACCAGGTACCCGTTTTTTTTTTAAAAGAAGACAGTACAGCAAATTAAAGACATTATTTTGATAAAGGGGTGACAAAAGTACACGTCTATTATCCATGTGACAGTTATAGGAAATGTAGGCTCCTTGCCCTGCTCAGGCTAACCCTTTGATATGCATTCCATCCATATGCCTGGCTGCAGTTTCTCAGAATTAAGTGATGGGTCATTATACTTTAAACACCGCAGAGCAGCCTGGATTGGCAATTAAACGGCACTCGCTGACACTCATTCGCGCCACCCGGTGACCCCCTTTAGATTGAGATGTTGGAGCTTCGGGGCCCTTTGCCTGCTAAATTGGTAGAAGGCGCTTCTCCCGATAAGGGCCGACTCTGAAATCAGCCAGCTTCAAAGAGAGCAGCATCATGTATAAACCATAACGTGGGTACGCGGTGGCTTGAAAAAAAAATTGGATCCTGGAATAGAAGAAATGTAACAAGAGCACAGGGAGAATGAGGCATAATGACGGACCTACTGCAGCTCAAAGGGGGTTGTGCTGCAGGAAGACGCATCCCCACAGCTCGTGCATAAAATAAAGGCAGGCAGATGACACGCCGCTAACAGGAGCATGTCAGTGATGAAGCAATAGTGCCGGGGTGGGAGAAAGGGAAAACAAAACCCTAGAGAGTGCCGAGGAACAAAAAATAGTTGTTCCTAGCAAGTTTAGGCTCATCATTATATTCTGGCTTGGAGCCATGCAGCCAGACAGTGATGAATAATGAGCTGTTTAGAATTTTTTCATTCTTCCCCTTGAATTTGTATACAGCCATGTAGCTGACGGTTATTTCACTTGTGAGGTGATCTGTAGTGAGGGCTTCTATATACTTTCTTTTCTGTGATTAAGTGAAAGGATCCTTGAATAATAACAATAATAATCGTAAAAATAATAGGGAAGGACGAGGTGATTTGGTAGGGGCAGAACAAACACCACCTCGACTTCTGAAGATATTCCAATGCAGATTGGATTGAAATTCAGCCCTGCCATGCATGTGCTGTAGTAGCTCTAGTGTTTGGGTTAACACCTGAGCTCAGTTCAGAGGTGATCTTTCAGTTGTTGTTGTTTTAGATTGAAGAAATTAGTTTTTAATGATATATGTCAGTCTTTGGTTTCTTATTCTGTGGTTTATCTTCATGAACAGCTTTGTCCTCTCTCTACGGAAAGGACCAAGCATCTATAGCATCTTCACCTGTTAAAGTTTGATGTCCCACACTTCGCATGTGATCCCAATACGGTGTCACTTTAGGGCCTGTTGACCTTATATGAGATAGGGATTGACCCAGCTTTTATTCTGTCTTACCATCCTAGTTCTTACCCCAAGTGCATCATAATCACCAAGCTCAATTGAGCTCAGACAGTGTCCCCAGAGAGGAATTTACATATTTATGCAGTTGCACGTCTAGGCAGGACTCCCCTTTATCAATGGCATTGACAACAAAATCCAAGCAGCAAGTCATCTCGCTTATATTGGCCTCCCAGAGTTCAAAGCCAAGAAAATGACATTTGTCACATCATCTGGCAACATTTACACTGGAATACTAACAGTCTGTAACAATGTTTCGTTATAGATCCCTTTTATTGATTTTGTGGTAACGCTATTGAGAACTCGGATAGTGATGATTAAACTGGGTCCTCCTTGTTTCCGTTACATATTTTGCCTCAGTGCAGTGTACAGCTGCAGTTCTTTGACAATGATACATAATTGTAAAGCCTGTGGAATAGAACTTTTGTACAAAATAGGCAATTTTAAGAACAGCTGCAAACCTTTCTGGGAGTTCTATAAAGGCATTCCTTTTTGTTTTTGCATCCCAGAAAGGTGCCCTAACTTAAATATTTTTAGATGAGAGAACGAAACACAGAAATCGCTCACAGAAAAGTTGTTTTGCAAAAAATATATCTTAAGGGGAGTTAATGTCAATACACTATTGCATTTCGTGGAACTGTAGCAATGGTCGATCATTTTTAAAATCTGTGTACTGAGATTGAGGCTTGTCTTTTCGACATGAGCGTATTGAGTCATCAGATACTGTACTTTTAGTTCACACACGCAGGCTACACTTAACCCCTTAATGCCTTGCTTTTAAATGTCAGCTGTCTAGAGTTTGTACTGTATTTTAGAGATATGAGTCTCACATGACTGGGAGGGGTACAGGAAATGCACTACTGTGAGCTCAGAAGAAATTTTCAAGGCTACAAATCCTAAGTGAAGCAAAGCTCTGTTTATTCTATGTGCAGTAACTACAATTGTTTTCCTTCTAGCGCAATTCTGCTAATGTGGGAGTGTCACTGTCACACTGTGTCAATTGTAATTAACGGAGACACTGAGAGTGTAGTGGCAACATTATGAGATTCATTAAGTTTAATTCTTCCTTGATTGATTAGTGGTGACAGCTTGCATATGCTCGCTCCACTCTCAGCAAAGTGTATTAAAATTGTCTGCGCATTTTTTCGTTCATTTTTATTCTGACTATTTACACAGTTTTCTCTCCTCCAGGTTTCCCCCACACATGGTCCCTCCACACCACAGTTTACACACTACAGGAATTCCTCATCCGGCTATTGTCACACCCAGCGTCAAACAAGAGTCTTCCCAGAGTGACATTGGCTCTCTAAATAGTTCGTAAGTACTCCTTTAGTATTCTCTTGCTTCTCTTTCTGCTGACTATAATGTCTATACATTGTGTAATTAAGAGTGCTCTAAAGAAGTAAATATAAGCCTTCCCAGAGGTGTTCAGGAGAATATAAATTTACTTAAGAAAATAAAAGGTGAAATAAATAATTGGTACTTCTTGTTTAAAATGCATTTTTTTAAACTAAAATCACCCTGTGGCACATACTTAGTCTTGAAAGAAGGTTGTTTTTATTAAAACAAAAAAAATGAATCCAGTAGTTGCTGGAAATACAATGAAAAATACTGAGCTGTGTTTATTCTTTCTTGGGTGATGTCTGTGTACATATTTGAATGTCAAGAAAAGAAATAGGTACAAAGTAATATGTCTTCACTCAGCCTTAAAACTGATGAATGTGATGTTATTCTTCTCCTGAAATAAAACTCAAAAACGGTGTCTTTTCACTGAGTCTCCCCCCTCCCCTTCTTTTCACCCCCAGAAAACATCAGGATTCAAAAAAGGAGGAAGAGAAGAAGAAGCAGCCTCACATAAAGAAACCTTTGAATGCATTTATGTTGTATATGAAGGAAATGCGAGCGAAAGTAGTAGCAGAGTGCACGTTGAAAGAAAGCGCAGCTATCAATCAAATTCTTGGCCGGCGGGTAGGAAGACCTATTCTTTCCGTATTAACATTGGTGGTCCATGTGTAGAACGAAGAATTGATATTATCTTCAATGTAGAATTTGCATAAGGTGTTGGGAACTCTGTAGGTGGCACGCTGACTCCTAAGATGCCTTGGACTGTTTTGTCTTCTTCACCCACGCATTTAAGCGGAAATAGTACGATAGCCTTCAGTAGTGCCAGAACGTTTTTTTTTGTCTTTAGTGCTGTAGTAGTGAGTTTGTTCAACTGCTTGAGAAGTTTTTTTTTAAACAGCTTTATGGCTTTGTTACAAAATGCATTGCTATATCTCCCTGATCATTAATGTTAACATCACACTTTTATTTCCATAAATGTATTCTCTGTTATTAGTTGTATTTAGCAGAGATACCTCTACCTAAAGCAATTTACAGAGACACCTGTACATCAGCATCCACTATGGCTATAGGCCTTTGGTTGTAGCAATAAGAACGTTGATTAATTGGCTCAAGAGACAGTAAACCTAGCTTCTTAAGTCAATACTAGCTTTTCATAGGTTTGAAATTGTTGTATGGTATATTTATATAAAGTTTATTATAGATCTCAGCTCATGATTTTCTCTGTTTGAGCTTTCATGAATCTGTAGTAATCTGGTTGTGGGCCTTTTTTATCTTTTGTCAGTGGCATGCTCTATCTAGGGAAGAACAAGCAAAGTACTATGAGCTGGCAAGAAAAGAACGGCAACTTCACATGCAGTTGTACCCGGGCTGGTCAGCACGAGACAACTATGTGAGTTTTTAAGTTTTCAACAAGGAATAAAAACTGACTTTATTTGCTTGCTACTCCATGAGAATGGTTATAGAAGTCAACTCTTTTCAGACTCCTTTTTGTCTGGTAGAACAGTGCTGTTTATCAGGACTCCTTCTTTCAGCACGTTTTTTTGGTAACTTCACAACTTGCGATGTTTTACCTCAGATGGAATGAAACGCAAATATTTAGTTGTTAAGTGCACTCCAGGTAACCTGTTGCAATGTCCATTTATCCACTGTCAGAAAATCTTTGAGTGGTTAAAGCAATCCACAGCCTATCCCAGGGCTCAAAACAGGATTACACCCTGGAAGAGACACTGTTCCATTGCAGGGCACTCATACAAAAACACACAAGGACGGTGTAGAAACACCATTCAGCCTAGCCAGAGGAAATTGCAACACTCCACAAAGACAGTACATGTAAATTCCACATAGAAAAGCAGTCAGGAATCAAAAGCAGGACTCAAGAGTTGCGAGGAAGAACTGCTAACTGCCATACCACCTTGTTGTAATGTACCTATAGACAGTATTAGAGTATATCCCCTTTTTGCACTGTTCTTTATGCCCTGATTAAGAAATGACGACACTATATGTAAAGTATGTTAGAAAATGTGTTGTGTGCTAGTGCAAAAGAAATGTATGCACATAAAATAACAGTTTGTTGCCCTTAAAGATATCGCCACTGTGTTTAATGGCAGTAAATCCAAGTATCTATTTTTGTGTGAATACCTTGCTTTTCAAAGGAAAAGGAAAGCTCCGGTAGTGTTTCTGGGAGGTGTTCTGCACCATAAATGTCACTTAGGCTATCCTGAGCCTACCCATCCACCATAAGTACTGTCTTGTGGCCGTGGAAGAAAAGACTTGACAAAGCACCAAACTGATCAATATGGAGCCTTGTAACAAATCTATTAACATTCCAGTAGCCGGATCAGGTCTGGAATGGTCGCCAGAATGATCGCTTCTACATAGCAGCAACTATACCTGCTCACACAATAAACGCATAATTATAAACGCAACCAAAAACATCAGAATAAAAATATCTATATTCAGCATCCATCACACACATATGGTTATAAAACTCTCTTAAATATTGGCCAGCGGTGTTAATCTTTGCTGAATCCTGGTTGAGTTGTCTCGTATAATGACATTGGAGCACATGTGTACAGGAGAGATTGTGAAATATTTGTTCATGCTGTGAGCCTTCAGACCCAGGTCATAGTGAGCAGTAGATAAAGTAGAAAGAGCAAAAGACAGAAATAATGTCCAAAGAAAATGTTCTTTTGTGGCTGTACAAGGCTCTGGGCTCTAGTAGAATGTGGTCTCTGTCTTTTGTTTCATGTCTATTTTTCTGCAAAATAATAACTAAGGTTTCTATGTTTCTTTTTTTTGACTGGAAATCAACAGGGGAAAAAGAAGAAGAGAAAAAGGGATAAACAACCAGGAGAGACCAATGGTAAGTGAGCAGCAATTATCTCTTATAATAGAGGATACCCATCATGTGTCAGACTTGTGACATCTCAAAGAGTGCAGCTTTTGCCTGGCACATTTGTATGTGGTTTGCTGTCGAGCACAACATTTAGCTGTTGTTATGTACTGCCTGTTACTGTGCTCTGTTAAATGCAGATAACAAATTGCCAATGCATGAACCCAACATTGTGATAATTATGGTTTTTTAATAGTTGTTGAAGTCCCAGTTTCAAGAGCAATTAACTGCCAGTGTTAAAGTTAATGCCTGTGCCTTGGTTATCAATTTGCTTAACTTGTGTTGAGAATGTTAACGTGGGCTGTACCTGTCTGTTCTGATGCATGCTTTTAAAAAAATCACCCCCCATCTTAAATTAAGGAGGTTTGCTTCTTTTGTTTTGTTTATTTTTTATCCATTTTGTGCGTTGGACAAATACTGCATAGTTAACCTGTTATTGCAGCCAATATCAGTCTAGATCATTTTTTGAAGGCCTTTTATCTGTTCTTTTTTTTCAGAACACAGGGAATATTTTCCAAACCCTTGCCTTTCACTTCCTCCGATTACAGGTGCTAATGTCATTTTGAGTCCTTAAAGTACTAACTTTTGTTTTTTTCCCCTTTTTATTTACTTATTTTTCTTTTATTTCATTTTTTTCCACATGTGTAATACTGCAAAGTCGTTTGCAAAAATGCTAATCAGTAACGTGGACATGTTTATTTTTTGGAGCGTTTGTTTTAATTGGTTGATTTCTTTCTTTTATGTTCATAACACAAAAGTATGTTTTTATAATGATGCTTCTTTGTATAAAACAATACATTATTTAACAACATTCCCCATTTGGCAAATTGAATATGCAGTATGTTTTAAAGCGACTGTTTCAAAGAAATCTGCAGAAAATAACCCAAAAGTAAACCTCCTTAATCTAATTGCTTAGTAGCTATGCTTGTCCTTTTTTTATAAGCATGAATATGCAGTTAACCTGCCTTGCTCTTTCTGCACAACCTTTCCACCTAAAAAATACTGTATTGATTTTGATCTAATTCTTGCAAGCTCAATGCCTAGTGTTTTCCCTCACTGGGACTAACAAGTGCTATTCTGCAGTCTGCTTACTCCTACTACTGAACTATCTCTTTTTTTAAAATGTAGAACTAAAAATCATGTATATTGCAGAAAAGTAATCAAAGCTGCAATCTCCCATGATGTTGTTTTCCTAATTTAACAAACTCACTTTTAAGATACGACCTTAAAACAGAAATGGATGGCTCTCATTAATGACAGAGACCCCGGCCACATCTTTCTTCTCTTGATTTGCTAACGGCTGAATTAACACTTAACGTTTCTCTTTCTACTTGTGAAACGGCAGTCCTTTAGAAAAGGGATACTGCAGCTTTAATTGCCACGTTTACTCTTTGTTCTTTTTTTTTTGCCTTTTTTGCATCCATTTTTTTTTCTATTTACGTAATTGGTATCAAGCAGATTCATTTATTCCCTTTATTTTTTTATTTCTTTCTTTCTCTTCCCTCTCTGCTCGCTTCTTTCTCCAATTCGTTCAGACCTGAGCGCTCCTAAGAAATGCCGAGCGCGCTTTGGCCTTGATCAGCAGAATAACTGGTGCGGCCCTTGCAGGTGTGTATAGTGTTCCCGGACTTGCTATGGCTGTGGTTGCAGCTGGTTTTGAAATTGGTACTTTCTCCTTTTTTCCAGCTATCGCATCTATGTTTTCTTCTGTGGTTAAATTCCCCCCCCGTTTCCTTGCCAACCTCCCCTTCTCCCCTGCCTCTGTGAGCTATTGGTGAGCCGGGTACAGACCCCAAAGACTATGCCCAAACAATATTTCTGCAGCTTCTGTAATCTGCACAGGCATTGTTTTTTTCTTGTCGTTGTTTCGAGTTGCAGGTCTCATGTCACGTGTGCGTGTGCGTTTTCTGGGCAACGCATACCAAAAGCCAGAAACGAACTTAAATTGGAAGCTTTTCTGTTGCCAGATGTTTTTGGTATTGTTCAAAAATATAAATGAAAATTGGATAAAACGATCCTCAGAAACAGTCTACGACAGTGTGGAGTTACCTGCATTGGTGATGATATGAACAAATCGACCGTGTAGGTGTTCACTGTGTTTGCTTGGTTGGGAGGGCGAGGGAATGTTTGGAAAACTGGTAAGGGGAGATTACCAATTACTACAGCTGAAACCCTAGCTCTAGCTAGATGCCATATCCAATGACCAGTGTCCACTTTGTTTTCTTTTCTGTTTTATTTTTGTGTTTACCTTTGGCTAACAGATGCAAATACCCCAAAGAAGTGTCGTGCATTGTTCGGGCTTGACCAACAGAGTTTATGGTGCAAACCATGCAGGTATATTCCCAATAGTAACTTTTGGGGATGAGACTGAACAAAATGAAACCAGCAGTATTCCTCTTATGTGTGCTTTTTGTCTTCCCTATGCAAATAAACTCTCTAACACGCTGTGATCCCTTTGCTAAAATGAAGCCTAATGCTGTAACACAGCAATTAAATGTTCTCTTAAAGAAATGTTCTGTGGCAGAAACTGGCTTTGTATGTAGCAAATTTATGATTAATTATATCCAGAAGTTATTGAGAAAATACGCTGTACTATGATGATTTTCAAAGATACATTGATAGCTGATGATTTTTGGTGTTAAATACACAGTATAAACTGAAATACATATTGTAGACAGTTTGTTCGTAATATTAACACAATTATGTTTATTTATTTATTTGTTTCCTTCTGATGTATTTAAAATAACCTTATATATAGAACCTTGATATTCCATAATGATAATCTCACTACATATATCTATGTTTAGTTTTATATTAATTAAGAAAACATACATGTTTAAATATATCATTAGTAAAAATAATAAATAGATTACATAGTCTCAGTGACACAGATTATTTTCTATACTTCTAGCCCACAACCCACTTTCTGCTACAGGTCTAATGCAGTATCTGCTTATTCTGTGTCCCATTTCCGAGCCATTGATTAGCCTTTCTCATTTTGCAATTGCTTTTTTGGTGGAGGGACCAGAGTGGTTTGTCCTTCTTTGCACACCCTTTCCCTAATAATGTTACTTAGTTCAAATCTGTTGTTTCTTTGTTCTGACACAAGCAGTCTTTGAATTTGGAATATTTTCATGGTAGGTATTTGTTTCTGCTAAGTAATACCCTTCTCTGTGTAACGCTTGCTCTGTCTTCCACTCATTGTGTCGTCCTGTCTCGTGGAACTGCTTGTACTTTGCTTTAGCAAGAGCAAAGCATGAATTATCACTGTCATTCCATTGTTATTTTTAAGCATTTAAAGCATTCACAAGTTTGTTTTTTTTCCATTCCTTTAAGAAGAAAATGAGAAGCACTGATGCAACACAAATGAAAGGGTTTAGCCTGTATTATGCATCATCAGTGGAACATAACTTAAGTTCCAGCACATTTTAGGATAAAGTTCTTGGTCGTTTCTATGATACACATTGATGAAAGATGGTCTTTAGTACACGATCATATTGTAACCAACCTGTTCCAAGTTTTATATAAACTTGATTAAAAAAAAAATTAAATAAAGTGGAGCAACACCTCAGATTTTTTTCACTTCTTAAATACATATTGGTAATCTTAATAAAAGTCTGTCTGAGTAGGCACTCTCCATACTTAGCAGTGGCTGGCCATACAGTATCTGTAGGCTTTAAATTAGCTGTCTGGGAGCCTTAGTGAGGTGACTCAATGAAGTCAGTTTTCCTTAAGTTTTATTTCAAGTCCTTAAAAAGCCCAGTTTTGGAGTAGGGTTATGAAACCCAGTTGTTGGAGGGATGATATCTTCTGGTTCTTGTTTCATCCTGAGCAGTCTGTTAAACAATTAACTTCATTATTTTTGTAGACACATCTAGGGTGTTTCTTAAGATATTTTGCAATTGATTATGCAAACCATTCATGTCATTAAAAATACTGTTACCTTTAAAAACCGCCAGAACCTGGATAGAAGTATTTGAGTTATGCATTTAATTACACAATTCGACCAACTACATAACTGAAAGCTCAGGTTGAACAAAAATCTGAAGACATTAAGTCCTTCCGATAATTGAATTTGACACCTTCTGTGTTAAAGGCTAAGACTTAAGAGTACACATTTTGAAAAATGAGATGCATAGCCTCCAATTTAATCCTCATCACACTACTGAAAACTCCTTTGTTCTGCAAAAAAAAAACAACTTTTATTTTGCAAGTGAAGCAGTCTGGAAAAAAACATACCAGAAGGGCACAATAGGAACATAGGATAAATACAGGAAACCGGGCTTGTATTTGGAGTGAGACTTACCACTCAATGAAGGGATATTAACACTTTTTTGTGTTATTTCCTCTGATAGTCATACTCTACTATAATCTAACTTTTAGAGGGCCCTCCCTGTCTCTCTCTTAACTATTTTACCAATGGTGTTAGCTTCCTAGCCTATGCCAGGATAGAGGGAATAACATGCAGACTAGCCACTGCTCATTATCTTGATTGAAACATTTCAGCACGGTGATTAAATATTAAGATGGCAAGTCACGTTCCTTAGTTTCACTTTCACTGGCTGATTCTTCTTTATTAGTGCATGTGAGCTTCTTTTCTTACCTTGCTTACCTATCACTTGTGTTTTGTCCCCTTGCATGCCCAGTATCTGACATTCTAACTGTGCTTCAGTTGTTAATCATCTCAGTGAGCAACATGAAATGATTGACCTTTCACATCTGGCAGGTTTTTGTTATTCATGTACAGTGTGATTTCTGTTGAGAATAACCATGTTTAGTACTGAAAATACACATTGTCTTGCCTTTATTCTGTTGTAGAATGCAAGTATATGAATAAATAGGAAGCTTATTGTAGGGTTGACCTTGGTTGAAGTGAGAAAAGTACAAAAAAGAAAGTCTTATTAGTCATGAGTGGTGTTGAAAAGGAATTATGCCATCCACAATCTCCCCAGCCTTTTGCTATAATTTAAAAAAACTGAATTTTTAAATTCACACATACACATTTCTATGGAGTAGTGTACTAAAATAATCTGCTTTATAGATGATGCATTCAGCTGAGACATCATAGTTGTTTAAAGAGTATATACTGTAAAGACCTAAGGAGACCTAAGGAATATAGACATCATTTTATTCATTTCAAGGCATAACATAACAAAGGCTTTTAAGTAAGTATTGTTTAATCCCCTTGCCTGAGGAATGATAATTTTCCAGTCCCCAAACCATACTTGGATCTGAATTGTTTCAGCTTGCGAAAGCTTCCCTGAACTTTTGAAAAACAAACTCCATGTGATTTTGTAAGAAAATGGGACAAGATTTAGACCTTTTCTGACTTTAATAGAAAAACATTCCCAGGGAGACAGTCAGTTATTAACTATGCTTTCTCCTACAAGTCCTCTCATGGATAATCTTTATACCGTCAGACTCAGTCAAGTAAGGGGTCTTGTTCATGTTTTAAAGGCTACAAGGAGGTAAAAAGGTTTGCTCAGTTGAGCCGCAGTATTGCGAATCCTGTATTTGGCATAATTCCTCTCATAGACCACTATTGCCAGTCCATGGGTGAAATTGAACAATTGGTTATATTAAATATGAAATAGATTACATTATTTACAGGAATTTTACTGGCACATATTCTTGTTTTAGACTGAATTGCTTTGTACTTTTCATTTGGCTATAGTCAGATTATTTTTTTTATTGGGATTTGTCAGAGCACATCAAATTGATACATTAGCTCTTTGTTGTTTTTTTGTTTGCTTTGTTTTTAATGTGGCATGTCGTGTAATTCTTTACTTGCACACATTTTGTTGTTGTTTTTTCCTTCTTTTCCCTGTGTACTCTTTATCTTTCAGCTCTTCACTCACCTTGTTCATGAGAGAAAGCATGAAACACTTTTTTTTAGTTTAGCATGTACTGACACTGCAGGCTTATGTGGCTTTAACAGAACCGCCTCCCAACACGACTTTCTCTATCTCTCTCTCTGTGTCTCACTCTGGTCTAAGAACTGAATGCTTGTTGGCAGAACCTGCGTGGGTACAGGCAGGGGTATGACTTGCGGAACGATTCTTACCCGAGTATTTTAAATGAATTCCAAACAATTACAAAATTTTGTTTTTCCTCAGCAGAAATGTTTTTATTACGATCAATATCAAATAAACAGGGACAGAATGGGAAGTGGATCGCAGCACTTAACATCATAAGTCGAAAGTTTTATTCCTAAATATGAGTTTATGGTGGAATCTGATACTAAGAGCCATGCTGAAAAGGAGCTATAGTGAGTGTAGATGAAAATCGAAGGAAGATGCTCAGGAGGGTTATAGGCAGAAAGTGTGTGTGTGTGTGTGTGTGAGGGGGGTCTAGTAGGCTGCTTGGAATGAGCCATCTTAAGGGACTTGTCTTGGCTTCTGAAATCTTAATTCTCTTTAACTCAAGACCAGACATTACGAAGGAAGGGGTTTTGAAGAGGTTCTCTTGTTGCTGCTGTTCCTCAAGCTCAGCTCATTTCCCCTCTAAAGTAGGAAAGGGCTTTGTGAGCTTGGGCTGGAGGGAACTCTCCAGCCATTCTAGACAGGCCTGGCTTGGCGGCTCCAGCCACCTCTGAGAAATACCGATTAGACATGCAGGGTAAAGAAGGCCGAGCTGCATCCGACACCGTGGAGATTCTGTGAGACCCAACGCTTGTTTCTCTGACGAGCTTCAGCAGCTCTAGGCATGTTAGATGAGGAGATCGTGACCCGGCAGTTACTGGAGCGAAACGGAAATGTGGCAGAGCGACGCCACTTTTCACCAGTACAGACATATCTTTGGGGCAGATCATGTGTATCATGTTGTGGTTAAGCTAACTGAGGCCGCCCCCTTCCCACCCCCCTCTCCAAACCTCGCATCTACCAGAGATAAAGAAAAAAGAAGAAAGCTGCAACTTAACCCGTTGTGCAAGGCAATACGCAGTAGACCCCCTCATATCCATAGATATTGCTGGTTGGATAAATCTTTAGCCTATTTCACAATACACGGGTGTAGTTTCTTGTCAACGTTGCCGTATGCATCATGAGCAGAGCAACTTAAGTCCTCAAACCAAATGAAAATCTATGTTACCAAACCCTTAATTATGTTATTTCAGACTCACAGCCTGCAGGCCATAGAACCAGTTATTCTCGTTCTTGTGCAATTTATCTCCATTTATGTTTGCCCTTCTTCATTTCTTCTTTCACGCTTTTCTTCACTCTTGTCTTCTCTCAATTTGATGTGTTTGCTGACAGACAAAGGGAGTTTTAATGACCTATTTTATGAAATGCCAACAAACTAAACCTAACTTTTGAGCGTAGTTAATTAGTAGTGTGTCATATGAGAAAATAGATTTGGAAAACCTGAGACTAGCATGATTGAGCACAGATTTTTTTTGCATTCTTTAACCTGTGGCAACATGGATGTTAAGCAGACAGCTAGCTGTCCTACAGAGTGCCTCTGCCATCTTGTTTACAGTTAACTGTTTTCCTATTTCTAGGAGAAAAAAAAAGTGCATTCGCTACATACAAGGTGAAGGCAGCTGCGCCAGTCCACCCTCTTCAGATGGAAGCTTATTAGATTCTCCTCCTTCCTCTCCCTCTTTGATAGCCTCCCCTTCAAAAGACTCAAAACCACAGACTGAACAAATGCAACCTCTCTCACTGACTATGAAACCCGATCCTTTGGCTCACCTAACAATGCCATCACCGTTAGCTCTGTTGGAAAATTCGGCTGGCAAATCAGGCACCCAGAACGGGGCATTGGAACACCAAGCTGTTACTTCCCAACAGTCTGGATCTTCATCGCTGGCAAGACCTTCTACGTCCTTGTTGCATTCCCATAATCCTCTCTCTGGGACACAGCCCCAGCCTCTTTCGCTCGTAACCAAGTCTATAGAATAGCCCTGTTTAGCTTTAGTCTTTATTGTCTTCGCCTTTTGTAATTTTCCTTCTCTTGTTTTTTTTGTTTGTTTAAACTTTTGTGCCATATGGCTATGAATTAGTTTGTTTTATCGAGTTCATTGGTCAATATTTGACCCATCATTATTTCAGAAACAAAAAAAAGAATTGTAGATTATAAGCTTTGTGATTTTGCCAAAATTTTTATCGACAACTGTTTGAGGTCTTTTTAGTGTTTAAAAAGAAAACAATAAAAAATGCATAATTGTTATGTAGTTCCAATAGATAGATACATCTCAAAGACTGATATAAAATAATAATAAGAATCAAAAAACAATAAAAAAATATTACGTTAGCCCTGTCCGAAGGAGTTGGTTCTTCTTTATTATTTGTATTAAATACGAGCTTGCGAACCAATCATTTTACATCTGTTCATATCTTGAGGGCACAATGAATGCAGTGCCATTTCTTCAATTGTGCGGAACAACTTTTATCGTGATGTTATTTGTTATTGTTTAAATGTACAGAAATATTTTTTTTGGGGGGGGGGGTACTGTGTTAATATGCATTGTTCCATGGCGTTGATGTTTCTGTGGGAGTTGGGGTTGGGGGTTGAGGGTTGAGTTAACTGGGGGGGGGGGGGGGGGAACTGAGGTTTTAATACAAAAGAAAATCACAACGCTATAGGACCAGTAGTATTTATTGCTTTAGAGATTGCTTGTATGTTGTCCCTTTTTAAAATATTTTCCTTTCTTAACACATTGTATAAAGATTTTTTTTCGTAGTGTAAGCAACTTATATATATAAAAAAATGATTCATTTGTACAAGGATTTTTAAAAGTTTTATTTTTTTCCATTGTTTTCTTCTCAAAGAAATCCAGTTGCCACCAAAAGAACAGTGTAGATGCTTTTGAGGAATAGTTATGTGCACAACATTACTTACAAAAATAAAACTATAAGCCATTATTCAAAAGAAACTTGAATGCGTTAAGGGGAAAGTGTCTTCAAGAGTGGGGAAGAAAAGTCTGAAACCCTCCTTTTTTAATACGCAGTCTTATCTCTGCCAGACTGTAGAATTATGTACAGTTTTCCGTGCCAAACTTGTGATAATTTTCTTCTCCCCAATTTTATGCTGTATTTTTTTTAACCATATTTTGCTGTGACGTTACATAGATTGCTATGTATGTAGTATAAATGTTGCTATAACAGATGTGTTTGGTAGCAGATTGTCAAATAATCAAAATGAACAAAAGACAGAGGTATAAACCCACATGGGCCAAATTATGTATATTAGGTTATTCATAAAAAAAGATTAAATACAAAACACACAAACTGCCACTTTTAAGTACACTACTACATATAGGTAGATAGCAAAAATAGGCATGTTGATGTTGCAAGAGGCTGTAAAAAGCTACAAGAAAATCATCCATTCGGTGCCATTGTAGTTGACATGACGCGACTGTAACCTGTCTCGATTTCTCTCTGGTTTACTAAGATGCTAATGATGACATTTTTTGTGAATAGTTTGAATGTTTCCTAACGGCTGTGATGTTCCTGTTCTATTTTATGCTCTTATTCCCTTTTTTCCCATTTGTTTGTTTTCATTTTTAATGGTTTCAAGACCATTTTTTGTAATGAATAAATGTTTATGCTGTACAGTATCTGTAGCATGCAGTTCTGGATTAATAAAAGCGAGTTAGTATGTGCAGATAATTCATTGTCATTTTTTTGCTTGTTTTTTCATTCTTCTTTTGCTCTCCTGAGCTGACTTGGTGTGTTTTGAACTAAAGGGTTTTGGTAAAGTTTCGTTAAAAGAATTGAGGTGGGAGGGAATGTCATTTCTAGTTAAAGTGACTGTGTCAGATGTTCCACATTTTATGGTCTGGCCCTTAACAAAAATAAGGAAAAGAGTCTTAATTTTATTCCATGAAAACCCAGAAACGCGTTTTAATAAACAGATGTCTAATGTTACAGGCTTAACTACGGACTGTTTTGCAGCTAAATGTAGCGTGACAAGATAAACCTACAGAAGGGAAGTGCACCAGTTACCAGGTATCGGGGAAGCCGGTTTATTTTGGTTCCTGGGACCACAGAAAATGTGTGTTTCCATTATTAAACTGAATTGTCTGTTCTACAGAAAATGTGAAGCTAAACTACAGTTCACTGGTAGGCAGTAAGGTTTAGAAAAGAGGAGCCCATTCAACCATCAGACACATTTGGTTGCTACAGGTAAATCAAATCATTCCAACTAAATTACATAATCACTCATGTTTGGTGAATTATATAAGGATTTCTCCACATTTGTCAGTAAAGTCATACACCATAATATCTTTGAGCACCCAGTTTTGTTTGTTCTTCTTATGGCAAATACCTAGGGTATTGGTGCATTAGCCAATTAGTGAGAGAGTTAGTGTTACACTTGGTTTTTATTTACTGAACATCAAAAGAAACCTTATCTTTGTGTTCTTGCATATATGTTTTAGATAAAGTATACTTTATTTTTTACAAATGATTAGCTATTTTGTCATCATTTTGAATAATTCATCTTTTCTGATTGTGATGTTTTCAAGTGTCTTGACTGCATAAGCACTAAATTACCCCTTTACTTAGAAAGCTAATTAGCACAGGTGATGAGGTGATTTAACCTATTGAATGTTAGTTCCGGAGAAAAGGCAAAAAAGAACCAATATGCGCCACTTATCAAGAAGACAATATTTTTGTGCCTTCATTACCTTGGAGGCTTGACTAAATGACCTTCAGTGGACTCACCAACAGTGAACTTATTTTGCAAAGAATAAAGGTTTAGTGCAGACCATTGTGATACACACCACCAAGTTTGGCACTGGGATGTGTTAATACAACCTGCCCTTTGTAATTAAACAAAATCCACAGTATTGAGAAATTGTATGTCTGAACATAGCGAGTGTTTAATTCCTCAGCAATAGGATTAATATTTTTTTCTCAGTTATCTTTAAATTATTTTCCAGAATGTGTTACATTTTTGCCTCCTGAGATCTTTTTTCTGAGTTACACAATTCAGAGATACCCATGTCACCGTCGAATCACCATTACAATTTCTGCAGCATTGCTATAACTGATAAATCCCTGTGTGCCCCCTACTGGCACTTTAGTACCATACTTCTACAAAATGAAAGGTTTCGGATTTCAATTTTTCAAGCAAAATTTGAGCAGTTTTTTTTTCTCTGTGTCTTGGTTAATGGCCGCAATCTTCTATGGCAAATGCTTCATTCTAGATAATTCTGCTGTATTTCTCTCGCAACTGCGTAAATCTCGTCTTAGCAGTGTGTCTGAATGGTGAGAATCTAGTTTTTTCTAGAGCATGTTCATTTGGTTGTCTTTTCTGAGGCTACTGCATGGGAAGTCAGCCTTGTTCGAAATAATTTAATGCTTAGACTTTGTGCTGAATTTGTAGATCTAGGCACAACTATTGTATCAGGTGTAGTCGACGCAGCCAGCTGAGTTGTTGTTCAGAGCTATCACATAGGATTGTTGTCTGTGTGATCAAATTAAAGTGCTTAGAAGGATTTATAAACGGGTGTCTTGTGTCTTATAACTTTTGCTGTCTCCTCCACATTTTTCAAGCAGCTGCACACATTGTATCCTCCTGCGCTGTTCTTTCATTTGATGCTACATAGGCTTTTGAATTGCCTGAGTGGGAATATCTATGGTCAGTTCTGGGTTATATAAATTTGAGATGATAAATATAGTTCATTATATATGCTATTTCTTCAGAAATGGTGTTAACAGGCATGAAGTCCTTTTCAGTTTACGTTCTATGGGCCCTCATCAGCAGTCCCTACTTCCATTTCTGCTTGCCTTCCCTTGCAACTCCTAGCTCAGAACGTTTTGTCAATATACTTCTTAAACCACTATTTTCATTATTAATGCTCAACATTGCATGTATATGCATATATGAATTGGCTACATTACTCTGCTCTCCTCCCCACTGATAGCTGATGTGTGGTGAGCGTTCTGGCGCACTATGGCTGCCGTCGCATCATCCAGGTGGATGCTGCACATTGGTGGTGGTGGAGGGGAGTCCCCATTACCTGTAAAGCGCTTTGAGTGGAGTGTCCAGAAAAGCTCTATATAAGTGTAAGCAATTATTAATTATTATTATTAATGCCTCGAAATCCATGCTTCGTTAACCGCCTGACTTTAATGGTTTCGGTGTTATATCAAGATATAACAAGCATTGGTCAGAGTCAGCATTACAGCTGTTAAATGTTTAAATGAAGAAAGTCAGTATTTGTTTGACTGTGCCACTGGCACTGGTCAACCACTTCAGCTACTGGTACTGAGAATGAACTCTTCTTTAAATGCCATTGCAGTAAACTGTCACACACAATTAGAATTACGAATTCCAAAATAACCAAATATGACTGTAAAAACCAACCTTGTATGCTGTACCCTTTCATTTATTCCCACTGTAGATTATAGTTTTGATCACAATTTTACAAAAAAATATATCAGTTTAAAGAGGAGCAACCAGTTGCCACCCCAAGCCTAAAGGAACGTCTTACATCGACAGGCTAAAAGAAGGAAATGTTTTTAGTCTTGAGCAAAGATGAAACTTGATTCAAATACTCAAAGGTATTGAAAGAGATAATCTGGACAGCATAATTAGGGTTAATAGCGAGACATGAACCAGGAAATAAAAGTGGGAATTGAAGGGCCGTATATTATACAACTGAGGACAGGAGGCATTTCTTCATATATACTGTAGGATGGTGAGAGTCTGAAACCCACTAGTCAGCCACATGTTACTCTTGACTTCAGGAAATGATTGGATAGGATGAAATCTTGGGATCAATTAACTACAGTATTAGCAACCAAATGAGCTCAATGAGCCAAATGGTCTCTTCTTGTTTGTAGTCTTTCTGGACATTTATTTATTTTATTTCTAAAACAGCCCCAGATTTCATGTTTTGGCTCCTTTAAAGAGTTTCCATATTATTGAACTACTTGGATAAGAATGCAAAAAAAACAGCCTGGGTTATCTCAGACGGGAAAAGCACTCTGCAGCAGTTGTTGTAATACAAGAGAGAATTTCAAGTATGATGTCAACATTTTGATACTGTAGCTTCACAGCTGGCACCAGTGCACACATGAAAGGGAAGAAAATGGCTTCAAACCATTGTTTTCCACTAGGCAGGTCTCTTTAAATATAAGACTTTAAAAAATTCTCTCTTTGATTTTTGTTCTTTGCTTTTCACCAGTTTGACTCCCACTTCTTTCCTTTTTTCTACATGTTCTTGTTTCCATAAGGCCAGTGACACTATGAAGCCTACGTCCCACACCTCTGGCTACTCAGATCTGAATTGGATGAATTTTTAGACTAATATCATTTGGTTGTGTTTTTTATTTCTTTCCGACTTTCCTTTTAGCAAATCTTGTTAATAATGTGCAAAAGCTGCAAAGGTAACAATATCTTTCATTTTCCATAGCCCCTTTCATAAGAAGCATCTCAAAGCACCTTATGATAAAATCAAAACGAAGATGTGGTTGCAAAGGAAAAGAGTCAGGAAAATCAAGTCCTGAAAGACAGGTCTACTTTGAAGGGTTGTCAAAGACTGGAATATCTTTATTGCCCTAGGTAGAGTATTCTACATTTCAGGTGTAAGAAATCACCCTAACACATGGAATCGCCTCTTACAAAAATAGTATGTTTTTGTTTTTAAGTAAAGAAATCAGACATTTAGCACTGCAGATAATTTGGTCAGCTAAGGGGTGTCTTTATTGATTATTTTTCAATAATGTTAAATACAGAAATAAGTGTGTGTGCTCTACTGAAAAAATGTTACGGACTTGAACCTTATTTTTTAAGAGACAAGAATCATTGCTTCAGCCTTAATCTTGACAGGATCTTGAAGTGTGACAACTCAAGCTGCATACTGCATGCCATACCTATGGAAGAGGTAATGTTTTGCACTGTTGTACTGTTTAGTAGTAATATTTACAAATTGTTTATTATCTACAGAGTTGAAAAAGGTTTTTTTTTTTGCTGACATTTCAGATGAAAGTTTGAAGGAAGCCTCCTTCTGTTTGGTTATACTCTGAGAACAGTGTTGTCTTGGGCTGGGAAGGTAAAACAAATCTCACAAAATGTCTGATAACTTCACCACTGCAGGATGAAATATTTAGCAGCGTCACCCAATCCTATTTTCTTAAATATCTTCCATTTGGGTTTTACTAAGACATTTGCCTTCAACGTGTGTTTCTTTTGTCTTTTTCTAAACAGGGTTAATATGTTGTAAATGTCCCTGTGTCTGAAAGCAGTACAACATGCCATGGTTAGGATTTTACTTTGTTTAGTGGTTCTAAACATAGGATTTTTACACTCCACTACATCTGAGAATTGTTTGAATTGAGACTATAGTAGTGATCTATCTAATAATGAATGTCAATGCAGTCACAGTAGGATCTAGGTTTTGTATTAATGAATGTCAATGCAGTCACAGTAGGATCTAGGTTTTGTATCTTATCTTAAAGACCAGAGCACAGGGAGGGTAAGTTATGGTATCACATTGTTTGTGAAACTTCTCTATGTTGGACGTACGCAGAGAACCAGCTCAAACCCGAAACACAGTTACAACTAGCAGGCACCCTTAGTCTGCAATTGCTATTATATGCAAAATCACACAATCATAGTACTGTTGGAGACTGTAAGGCTGTGAAGCTCACACAAGTAA